ATTCAGCCGGCTGCGGCGGCTGGTCGGGGCGGGGGAGGAGGAGGAGGAGGAGGAGCAGCAGCAGCAGCAGCAGCAGCAGCGGACTCAGGTGCAAGCAATCATTTCGAGGGGGAAGGAGAGAAATAGCGACAGAAGCTCCAGCCGCACCATAGTCATTAGGACTCTCCTGTCAAGCAGTTCATCATAGCGGCCGATAAGGATGCGTGTAGGTGAGAAAGATTGCTCTATTGCTTTAACAAAGAATTAGAGAAAGTAGTCATTTTATACGTGCTCCGTGGCTTATAGACGAAGGGAATGGATAGCCGGAAATATTCTGGGATGTTACAAAATCAGAAGGACTTTCTGTACAGCGTGGCGATGCACGACAGGAAATTAACTCCAAAAAGAATGCTTTCTCTCAAACTGCTGCAACAGCATTGAAAATTTTTCTTTTCTAGTATCTGAAATTCCTCCTGAAGACACAGCAAGGACTATCAGAAACATCGGAGAGATTATGGTACTTTCAAAGAGACTTAAAGCAAATGCCAGCATAATAGCTGAATGACCTTGGAGATCATTTTGTGTGGATTCATTAATTCTCACTGCCAGTCTTCTAGTCTCAGGAACTCTAGGATTAAAGATGGTTTTAACATTTTAGAGGCCTTTCAAAAAGCGAGATTGTATACAATTAATTACCTACCTAATGATTCCTGAACTAATCAAGCATTTACTTAAAACTGAACACAGAAGATGCTTTCTTTTAACGTTTGCTTTCTCCATAACTGCGAATAAAATGAACAAGGTAATGTCCTGCAATTAGAAGAACATTTTTTTAAAGAAACTATTTATTTTGCTGATCATCTCATAAATATAGCAACCCTAAAACTACATAGAAGATGAAGCTGAATAACAGAATAATGGAGTAGTAAACAATGGCAGCTTTTCTAGTCAAATCAGCATTTCATTAGCTTCACGGCAGAATGCAGATGGAAGTTTCTGTTCTCGTTGTATGGGGGTTTGTGAAATGGTTCAGGTGTTGCTACAGAGGTGAGCAATATCATGGATATACCTATGAACTCCTGAGTATTGATCCACTGTAGCAGACATGTCAGAGTTTCCAAAGATGATTATTTTAAATTACCATCGCTGAAATTAAATTCAAGAGGATTTATTTTGTCTGTGGGGACCTTGAATTATGCTTCTGGCATTAATAATTGTAATGGACTATAACTTTTTGAAGGAATTGTGCATATTGACATAAGTCTCCACATTCTATTCTTAAATTAGTTTCATTTTTAAATGAATAGGCACAATCTTTCTCATTGTATGTGAGATGTATGTTTTCTTTCTTGGGAGTCAGAAGACAAATCTGCCTTGTCCCCCACCCGTCTCCCTCCAAATAAAATTCATTATTCATACCCAAACAGTGGTGAGTCTATTGGAATTAACCTTGACAAAAATGTTTTCCTTACCTTTCCAAAGAATAGCATGGATAAGATGGAGTACCATCTCCTGAATGGAGCCAGAAAAAATAGTGTTAGATGATGAACTTTTTCCTTTACTCTCCAGTCAGTCTGTGATTTAAATTGAGACATTAAAAAGATTATCTCCAGTAACTGCTGGTCCAGGAAACCTGAGCTGTACCGAGGTTCCTCCTTCCCTTCCTCCCCCTCACCCCAGTAGATTCCAAATAAATGACTTTCTCAGGAAAATAAGCAGTCAGAGATTCCCCCCTCCTTCCCTGGGAAATGAATGTTGTCTCTTTTTTGTCGGTTTTTATTTTCATATTTCACAGTACCTGTTTGTTTTAGAAGTGCCTTGTGTTTGCTAAAGATTGGTCAAGAGCACTGGAGGAGCTGATCAGTGGCCTTTCTCTTTCTGGATTTTTTTTTTTTCTTTTCTTTTCTTTCTTTCCTTAAAGCTAAGGTGTGCCAGAGGTGATGCACTGATGCTGAGGAGGCATCAACAGCTATGGGACTGTAATCCTCTCAAATGTAAGCACTGGCAGTGTCTACAAAGGGAGATCGTGAGACGCTGAAGCAGAGTTTAGCTGCTGTTAAGCAGGTCATCTGCTCACTAAGGCTCAGATTGCAGTGTTCCCTTATCACAAAACATGAACCAGTCCCGATGGATTGAATGGAGGACTCTGAATATGAGCAGTAGTGTTATGAACGTATCTGAGCATCTCTCCTGCCCTCTTGGATTTGGTCACTACAATGCAGTTGACATCTGTATCCTTGAGACAGTTGTTATTGTCCTGCTAACATTTTTAATTATTGCGGGTAACTTAACTGTGGTATTTGTTTTTCACTGTGCTCCACTTCTGCATCATTATACCACCAGCTATTTTATTCAGACCATGGCCTATGCTGATCTTTTTGTTGGAGTTAGCTGCTTGGTTCCTACTTTGTCACTGCTCCACTACTCGACAGGTGTCCACGAGTCTTTGACTTGTCAAGTTTTTGGATATATCATCTCTGTGCTAAAAAGCGTATCTATGGCATGTCTTGCTTGCATCAGTGTGGATCGCTATCTTGCTATAACAAAGCCTCTCTCCTATAATCAGCTGGTCACACCTTGTCGCTTGAGAATCTGCATCATTTTGATCTGGATATACTCTTGTCTGATCTTCTTGCCTTCCTTTTTTGGATGGGGAAAACCTGGTTACCATGGAGATATTTTTGAGTGGTGTGCTACCTCCTGGCTAACTAATGCCTATTTTACTGGCTTTATTGTGTGCTTACTATACGCTCCTGCTGCCTTTGTCATATGTTTCACATATTTCCACATCTTTAAAATTTGCCGGCAGCACACCAAAGAGATAAATGATCGGAGAGCTCGATTTCCTAGCCACGAAGTGGATGCTGCTGGGGAGACAGGGCACAGCCCTGATCGCCGCTATGCCATGGTTTTGTTTCGGATAACCAGTGTGTTCTACATGCTGTGGCTCCCCTATATCATATACTTTCTGCTGGAGAGCTCTAGGGTGTTGGAAAACCCAGCACTTTCCTTCTTAACAACATGGCTTGCTATAAGCAATAGTTTCTGCAACTGTGTAATATATAGCCTCTCCAACAGCGTTTTCAGGCTGGGACTGCGGAGACTGTCAGAGACAATATGTTCATCCTGTATGTGTTTAAAAGACAGGGATGTACGGGACCCTAAACCAAGAAAACGGGCTAATTCCTGCTCCATTTAGAGAAAACTGGCGCATGTAATGAAACGCGGAGTTTTGATAGTATTTGCTGTGTCTGGAAACTTGCCAGCAGAGAAGTGTTTACTTGAATAGCTTTCTATGATGTTAGAGAGAGTTTAAAAGTGATTGAGTGATTGCGGAAAAGGAAGAGGCTGCTGTAAGAGGGCTCGCTGAACTTGAATATAGCTCTTGCGAGATTGTGAGGAGAGCAATTCGACAAGAGACGATGAAGAAAGTCAGAACTAAAAATCTTCCAAAGGGTATGAAGTAACTACCACATCAGAGGAGGTTCCTCATAAAATAAATTAGTTACTACCTTGTATTTTCCCCCTTGTAGAAAAGTTGTCTTACTATCTTTGTGTCAGAATATACTGTAGCCTTCTGAATTTAAATATATTTAAGAGGAAACAATCAACAAGACAGTAAGTGGCTATCCGTAAATTATATACCTGAGGACTGTAGTAGATATTGCAGATTAATAATCAGCTCTATCTCTGCTCGCATCTTGTACAATTTTCAGTTGTACAAACAATCCGCAATGCATAAAACCTACACTGGGCATGACGCTTTTGGATAAAATGGCGCATTTTGGTACAACTTTTACAGAAGCTCTCCTTCTCATTTCCCCTTTTTTTCCATACTGTGCATCCCTAGATTCCATCGTGTTCAAGTGGTTTAGTTTGAGGGCACCTATGAGGTAAACTTGAGTTTCAAACCATTCTCCCTGCAGAAAGCAATAACCCTTCCTGGCTCGCTGACTAACTGCAGCTGCCCATGTACAATGACTTATTCAGTCTTTCATTCTCTTGATCCTGTTAAATTAGCACACAGTATTGATGTAGTGTCCTTTAGGGTGTACTAAAGCTTTTCCTTTATTGGCTACACAGATAATCCTAATGCAAATATGATAATCGCTCACAGCAGTGTGCATCACTGCTTAGAAAATTAAAACTAACTAACCCTTTACTTTGGGAAGTCTAAATAGCTTACTGTTGTAGCTGTCAGTCTGTTGTGTGAACCTAGCTTGCACATACTGTATTTTTTTTAGAGAAAACGTAAATTGTGGTCTGTGCCTAATGTTTTCATAGCACATGGAATAGGTCAATGCTACAGGATTAAAAAACTACACTTGCTTTAAGAGACATACTTCCATGCAGTTGTTGAATAGCTGCATGTTAGACAAGTGTTCTTGGAAAAGGTGAACAAGACAGTTTAGTATTAAATGCAGGCAAAGAGCTTCAGTATATTTCCTTTCGTACTGAACGGATTTTCAGGTCCACTGATTCAATCTTTTTTATTTTGCAAGGGTGCACATTAGGTTTGTGTAATAAATTGCCAGGGGTTCAGATGCATGCCAATTGATAAAATATTTAAATTATTATTTTGAACCAAATATAGTTTTCTTAGATGGTTATTGGCTTTTTTAAAAGGCCCAATTATTGATTATTGGTGCCTTTTAACACTGCACTATTCTTCCTTCTTACACCAAAATGCATATGTAGAGATTGTGCCTATTACTTTTTGTAATGGAAGCCAACCACGCTTGCACACTTGTGGTTTGATTCTAGAGCTCCCTTAATTATGTATTCTTTGTTATGTTGAGGTGGTTCTGAACCCCTGTACATTTTTTTTTAAACGTGTAAGAAAGTTGAAACAATGGAATAAAGTAGTATTATGTATATCAAAACCAGCCTTGGCGTTAGTTCCCTGATGTTACGCTCTGTTCTCTGTGAAAGTTCTTTTGGGTTAGCACTCAAGAGTGAACAAGTTAATATTCAGTGCTTACTTGCCATCTTAAATGTTTATATACTAGTTTCTAGCATTGCACAATCTTTAAAGCAGATTGAAATATGACTTGAAACATTCCTCTAGCTAAGCTGAGCTGTTGCTGACAATTAGCCCTGATAGATATGAAAAAATGAGTAGTATTCTTTGCACGTATCTCTAATGCTCCATGTCTACAGGAATGTGTCTGCTGCCTTCTTTTGAAAAGTTACTGTTTAGAAGGCTCTTTTTGGCTAACTGCTGCTCTCTAAGGCTGTGTAACCCCATCTCTTCTTACAAACACGACTTGGATTAATTTTGTTTTGTTATTTTGTCATTGTTCCCTGCTTAGTAGGTCCTTAGCATGGAAGACTTTGACAAGGAACAATGAAATATCTAATTTCTCACAACTCACAGGGCTGGTTTCATACCAATAAAGTAGTTTTATACCTGTGCTCCAGAGCTGGCTGCTTACCGCTTCTGTTTTTTTTGTTGGTATTTCTGGTAACAAGTTTCTATGGGACCTTCTGAAATTCAAGAAAAGTTCTAGAAAATGCCTGAAGTTGAGCTGACCTTCTATGTAACGCAGCCTGGAGACAGTAGATGCATTGTTAGCATGGTACTGTAACTACAAATATGTAGAAATACACAAGCTAACTCATTTGTATCTGTAGTGCCTTAGTTGAACCCTGCTTGTATAACCTCAGCAAGTTGATGTACAGCAACTTGAAGCTTTATTGCCTGCAAATGGTAGGTCAGAAAGAGAGCTTCACTTCAGTGGTTGCAGCACAACGTTTACTCACCAGCTCACCGGCTTCTTGCCCTAAAGGGCAGAGTTAGCAATACTTTTCTCTCTACCATCATGTTGAGCTTGTGGAGTTGTCAGGTGGAACTGAAGATTTCCTTTTTCCGCAGGCTGAGAATGTAGTAGAAATCCAATACCCTGCAAACAAATCATAGGTTCCCAGGTTCTTCACCCTTTTTTGGGGGGGTTGTTTCTTAAACATTGGCTTATATGTTGTTGGTGCAAGAACACTAATTTTGCTTATCTAGACCCTGAATTTCAGTTGCTGTAAAGTCACACTATGTCCTGTTCTCTGTACATCTGAGTCTCCTGGTCTCCTGGAATCTGTCAAAAATCTTCAGCAGAGTTAAATACTGGCATTTCTTCTTGCTGTTTCCCAGATGACAGGATTTAACCTGGTGGTTGGTCACGTGAATTTTTAAATTTAGTAAGTGTGTTTCATTTTTTGAAAGTGTTTTCTAAACTCACAAGTTACAATTTTATTTGAGGGAGGTTTGTTATTGTTTTACGACTGCTGTCTGAGGATTCCAGCTGGTGCTAAATTCTCTTCCAAAATTATAAAGCTGGACATTTTAATGGATTAAAAAAGTCCAATAGAAATTCCAGTCACCCAATCTGTCAGTTTTGATTTTCAATCTGTCATTATGTAAAGTCTCATGTTCTTCCTGAAAATCTGATTAAAGAATGAGACTTTTAAAGCTGGCATCTGGAGTACATATCCCACTTCCATGTGCATAAAGATCTTTATGATTTATGAAATACCTAGTAAATAGGTGACCAGATGCTAACTAAAAAAATCAATACGAAAAAATCATTGTTGATAATACAGGTAATAATAAAATCTCTCCATATACAGATATATCAAGGGAGTTGTTAAAACTGTAGGTTCATTAAAAAAAAAGTAGCCATGAGAAGAAAACATATGTAAAATATTAAAAGTTTAGAGATATGCCTAATAGGTAATCTAAATAAGTGTGTGTGTGTGTGTGTATATATATATATATATTTTTTTTTTTTTAATTTTTTTTTAAAGTTCCTTTCTGCAGGCAGATTATGTTGTGTCATTATATTTCTCTTGAATACTTACGCTTGTAGTGTAATAGAAGCTATGTCGAGGTCAATTGCCTTACTGTTTTTGGAACCTCATGTCTTCAGCCTAAGGAAAAGTCAAAAAAAAATTTGTAATGGAAGCAAAAGTGCTACCAGAAAACTGACTTTTTTCTTCACCAAATGCTATGTGCTTCCTTATTTTCTGGAATGGATAAGTGAATTTCTTCTTAAAATACTATTCTTTAAAGGGAAAGAAAACCGTAGTAATGAAAAGCACAATTCCGTCTTTTAAAAGTTTACTTATTTTCTTAGAGCAAGATATCATTCCCCATGTTTCTGCTTAAGAATCCATTTTGTAATTGTACTTTGGTAAAGCATGAGGTATCGTACTAAGTTTATTTTTGCACAGAGTCTTTGTGCTGCTTCTGCTGAAAATTTCGGAGTGTTTTGCTTTATTGAGCCACATTTCATAGATACAGATTATGCAGACCATTTAAAAATAGCATTTATATTGTTTTTGCAGTTATTTTTAATTCATTACTGTTTGACTGTGAATATCCGTAAGCACACTTAGTTTTCCCACTCAGCAAAGCTGATTAAATGTCCTTTAATTTGGATAAAGTAACTTACCAATCAATATTAGAAATTGGCTATTGAGAAAAGTATATCAATGTAATGATTAGTTATTTCAGTAGCTCTTTCATCTTGTGTATGAAAAATTATGTTTAACTTTAAACAAAAGATAGTTGTTGGAACAGGATATTGAGTTGATGGGAAATGCATCAGATTTAATACTATCTCACAGTTGGTTCTCAACATGAAACTCTTTAATCTTTCCATATTATGGTTGTAGCCAAACAAATAAAGATACAATTTTTTTTTTCTCCTTTTTTTTTTAATGTTGGTGTTTGAATGCTGAGGATCTGTATCTCTCAATCCAAGCTGCTGCTCATGATGGGAATATCCCTTTAACAGACCTCAAGCTCAGTTGCAGTATGCCTAGCAACATGATGGTCCTGGAGCTGACCTTGCCAAGGAGCAGTGCTAGAGGTTCAGGAGGCCAACGTTGCCATGGGGGAAGAATGTCAGTGGAGGTGGCAGTGGCCTCCCCAGCCATCCTCCAGGATCAGCTAATTTGCAGATCTTTCAGTTAAATTGTCACTGTCACCAAAAGGATAAATTTAAGCCTTTGCCTTCATCCCCCCCTTGTTACCTCTGTTCCTCTCTTCAGGTGGTTTTATGGATGGAGTGGTGCACCATTCTACTAATGAACCAAATTAGATTTATTCTGTTGGATTTTTTTTATTAAAATATCTTATGTATGACATTTGAATGGCAAAATCAAACATTACTTTGTTATCTAGGTGCAGATTAATTTTTAGGCTTTTCCAGAAACAGAAGCATCATCGAGGTAGTGTTTTCCTGTTGCTTGCAGTGTTGCCCAGAAGACTGCTTAAAGACAGTATTTTCCAAAGATTACATGAGTTTTGCTAACGAAATGTGAAGTTCAAGTAGAGTTGTGAGTTTTTTCCTATTAAACATAGACATGTTTAATTTTTTGTTATTATAGTCTAAATTTTTACATAGATCTCTGTAGTCATTAAATATTTTTGTTAACAAAAGACTATGTCATAATTAGATTAGTGGAGTGATAGCAATATAGAAGGATATTTAAGGGTAGCTTCCTTCTCACAGATTTTTCTAGTCAGTCTTAAATAAAATGACTCCCTTCTCCATCTGATACTAGGAAAATCCTTCCAGAGAATATGATCTGAGCTTCCTGAGCTTTAAGTGCTAAAGGAACAGTATTTGAATGGAGAAGAAGCTGTTAATGGCTCTGTGCCCCAGCACAGCCTCGAGAAAATCCTAAAAACCCCTCACTTTTACATCCGTAATTTCTGTGGACTTTGTCCGAGTACTGTGAAAAGTAGAATAAATATAAGGAAACCTTAGTGCTTTCAGCTGTGCTGCCAGGAGGCTAGGAAAAGCAATTTCAGGCAGTAAAAATGCCTGGACATCTTCGGGATTTTATCACAATCTTATGCTAACTGCTGCCAGACTTAACCCTCTTGAGAAGAATGTGACAGCAATGCTGAAGGCTTTTCATTTTAATCATCGTGTGACTGGGTCTGAACAAAGAAAAGGTGATTCTGATCAAAATGAAACTTTTCTAAGTGCAGTGATTACCAGGGAAAAGGGTTTTGCTTTTTGTTATGTTCATCCCTGCCTCAAATCTCACAGTCTAAATATTACAAGTGGTAGTATTAGAAAAAGTGACAAAACACAAAGGTTTTAGAAAGGGGAAGCACAGAGATGTTAGCATTTATCATGCAAGGGCATTTCTGCATCTTGACAGCATTCCTTTTTGTTTCTTTGTTTGCTCTAAATGAAATATATAATGCTTGTTTTGTTGTTTTGGTGGGGTTTTTTTGTTTTTTTTTTTAATTCCTTCTGTCAGTTATTTGAAGAAGCACAAATTCTTTTAATCACAGAAGTCTGTTTTATGAGATTTAAACAAAGACTAGGATAGTGGCTTGGGAAAGTGTAACAGAGTGTCCCCAGGTGAGAACAAAGCATGTTACTTGTGGAACATGCAGTGCTTTGAATTTCATGCACTTTAGGCAAGAAAGTCTTCAAATACCTTTACCCCGTGAAGGTTTCTAGTCCTTATATGATCTCTCAAGTGTTATTTATGCTTGTGCATGTATTATTTAAAAGTTCTTCTTGTGTGACATCTAAATCTAGAATTGTAAATGGACAAATGATATTTTCCATGGTCAGGCAAATTTGTTCTGACTAGGAAAGACATTGCTGAACCCACAGTTTTTTGGTGTTTGTTTAGTCGTAGAGAATACAGGTCCTCATTAGCTGTTTTCTTGTGGAAAAGCAAATACAGAAACTGTGTGTTGAGGCAGAAGAACTGACTGTTCCTCAGATGGACTCACTCCTCATCTGTTGTATGAAATGTGCCCAGATGAGGGTTGTGGCTTTGTGGGGGGCCAAACACTGAGAGCCAGTGAAGTTTATTTATTTTTCAGTAGTTTACATTACTGCCACTATGTTACTCTATCTCTTGGTTCACATCTGTGCTTAAAATAAGGACTGTCAAATACAAACCTCCGGTGTTGCTTTGGAATATATATACCCCCCCCGTTTCCTGCTGAGATTCATGTAGGTCTCTCTTAGTATGACGTGCTGTTTAAACCTGATTCATGTTCACCTCCTAAACTGGCGGTGCTTTGAATTGTTACCCTTCCCGACAGCAGAATGAAACGTGCCTGTGCTTCGCCTCACTTCCTCTTCCCTTGGTTGTTTCAGGTCAGGCTGGCAGCTTAGCACAGACCCATTTTTGGCAGTGGGTAGGGCTGTATGGCAGAGAGCACTGGTGTGGCCGAAGCATGTGTGCGCCCTCTGCTTATACTTCTACTACATGGAGTTAATCCTCCACAGAAGGGGTGACATAGACAGCTGAAGGCAATAATGCCTTAAACTGCCTCAATGAGGCTTTTGCAGAGCTTTTTTTATTGGGGTTTTTAATGGTACGGAATTTTGTTGCAATTAAAAGGAGAGATCTATATACTACAAATAATTAATTGTTACTAGGTCAGGAACAGATTAGTTTTTCATCTATGCCCTCAGTAAGTGAACAAGATCTTCATAAGAGAATTCTATTACAATCAGGTAGATTTTGGACACTACAATGTTTATAGTGAGTTTTAAAACAACTATACGTACATCAGGGTTGTAAACAGTCATATAATGGCAAGGTTTCAGTGGCAGCTTTTTCTTTGTTTCAAGGGCTTTGGGGAACACTTTGTAGCTAGAGTTGGATAAGTGCTAACTGTATACTAAAATTACCAAAGTCAAAACAGCAAATGCAGGGTATAAATGAAACACCTTTATCCAAAACTACTTTCTCTGTAATGTTGGCTACTTAATATTGTCCAGGCAGTATCTCATGTTGGCTTATGAAGATGACCTATAGATAAGCAAGAAATCTAATAAATGTAAGCAAACTGCATGCTGTCATAATTAAATTATTTTAAAGATTTTATAATTTGTCAACTCAGGACTTCTGGAGACCATATTTTCTGTGATCTCTTACCTTGGGAACTCAACCAATTAATTATTTTTATTTGCTGGCTGTGCTTTACTTGATCTCTGCTTTTAGGTTTTTTAAAGTTCAATTTGATTTTTAAATTCAATTTTGCTGTTGCATAGATGTGTTATTCACTTGACTCATGTAAAAACCTTTATGAGAGTATTAGAAAGATCATGTCCTTGAGGGGAACTACATCTGGACTTAAATCTACTTAGGTTGCATTTCATTATATCTAAAAGAAGCTGTTGTACCTTGTTTACTAGATTTCAGGTGTCTTGGCAACAAGCCTTATCGACAGATGACAAGTTCTCCAACCTCTTCCATTGGGCTGAAATACTGTTTGCCACTGATTTTATTTGTAAACGCTGCTAATTAAAGAAACTCTGCTTTGGTGGTGAATCATTATTTTGGATGGGATTTATGGAGATACTTTATATCTCTATTGTATTTCATTTTATTCTGATGGCAGTATATGAGGGTTATTGCTTAAGTGCAGCTGCAAGTTTTGTCCATGTTATCCCTGTGCATTTGCAGCTCCTTTCTTCTGGTTATCCTGCCTTGAGAAGCTTTTTTGGGGAAAAGTATGTCTGTGATGGTTGGTCATTGATACAGTTGTGCTTTGATGATCGTCTTATTTTATGAATTTCATCGCATTAGTCGTGCTTGTATTTTAAAAATAAAAATCATAGCAAAGTGCTCTTGTAATAATGGTATTGATTTTGTTTAAAAATAA